CCTCTACCAAATTGGGATTGGGTTTGGAAACTCCCTACCAGACCGAAAATAGCCCACTTCGTTTGGCTAGCCCTCCAATAATATCTAAATACTAAAGACCAGCTTCATATCAGAAATATTACCTCAGATAATACTTGCCAACTCTGCGGCTCATCTCTTGAAACAAACCTTCATGCATTGAGAGACTGCACATTTGTAAAAAAATTCTGGGACTCAATCCTTATTCCCCTTAATTTGTCACATTCCTTCAACCTTAGTTCAACGAAGTGGCTCAAAAGCAATTGCCTCTCCACTGAGCTTCACGCAACATTTATCCCTTGGACCATTGTCTTTTCCCTTGCATATTGGACCATTTGGAAAAACCGCAACTCTATCTGTTTCGACCTTATCCCTCATAACCCACTCAAACCTACTTGGGGCATTGTTATGGCCACTGAATGGTACCATCTCTCAAATGCCAGTAAACCCCGTGCCACTAAAACCAGTGCTTATGGATGGACCCCACCATCCACACTCTGCTTCAAGCTAAACACTGATGGCGCGACAAATGCAAACCATGCAGCTGTAGGTAGTATCATTCAAGACAATCATAGCAATTGGGTCTCAGGCTTTTGCAAATTTTTAGGCAAAACAAACGGTTTAACTGCTGAGTTATGGACTCTTAGAGATGGTCTCAAACTGGCTCTTGACTTGGGTCTTACACCCATTGAAATTGAATATGATGCTCTGACCCTTATACACATGATATTCAACAATTGTAATGCTCAACACCACCTTGGTAATATTGTTCATGACTGCAGGTTCTTCCTAGACAGTCTTGGATCGCTAACTGTTAAACACATCTTTAGGGAAGCAAACAAAAGTGTGGATGCGCTAGCAAATCTTGGGATGCTTATAATGGATGAGAATTTTCATGTCTTCTCTTACCCTCCATCTACCTTTGTATCATAGATGGTTATGTATGATGTCACGGGAATCCTATATCTCAGAACTATTTTGTACTAGTTCCGTATTTTTGGTTTTGAATCTTAAAAATTAAAAAAAAAATGGTTGTGAACCTTAAAAATAATAATAATAATAATAAACCACACAACAGGGACGGTATAACTCTGTAGTACAAAACATTGGGAATATAGACTCTTCCCCCTCCACCACACAATTTATTTATTCATTTATTTGGGGTATGTTTCCCTCAATGAGTCTGGTTCCAGACTTATTAACTCAGATTAATATTATTTATTTGTTGTCATTGTTTTAGAGCAAAACATAAGAATATGCAATGTTTAATCAAATGGTTGACTTGATTGTTATATATACACCATCACCAATGGCCGAATTATTCCTTTGAAAATTAGTTAAAAATTAGATTATTATTTATTTATTTATTTATTTTTATTATAAAATATGTTACAAGGTTAAATTATTTTAATTTTTTAAATAATTTTGATAGTGATTAAAGTAAGCTTTTGACGTGAAATGAATTCATCAAACAAATCAAAACTTTTTAACCTATAGCCTATAGAAGCCTTTTTTTTGGGTGGATGCCTATGGAAGCCTTAGGATTGCCTTGCAATGACTTAATTTTTAGGTAAGGTTAGAAATTCTAAATGTTTTATCAAATAAATAATTATATTTATATGAGACATTTAATCATTTATTTGATAAAAAATTTAAGACCTATAACATTTTTATTTATTTGAATATTGAGGTCAGAGATTCATTTTGGAATTAATAGACCCAAACTTGAATTTGTTGGGGCTAAAAAAATATTAAAGTATCCAAAAAGACACGTATATGTCTAAATGTTTATTGAAAAATGTTTGATAGTTCGAATTTATATGATTTGAATGGTTCGAATGTATCAAAACGATATTGTTTTACCTCCAAAACGACGTCGTTTTGAGATATTCGAGACATTCAAGTCAAGAAAATTCGGACTACTAAGCATTGTTGATGTTTATTATTTGTCTATTTGTACACATGTCACCTATCTGTTTATCTTACTATCACAAGCTACTAGCCAAATGACTTTTCCTACATTAATGACTTTCTAATGCATGTTCTTATAACAAAAGAAAAAAATCTTGAACCAAGTAACATATGACTCTATAGGTGTGAACTTTTGACTGAATAATTTTTTTTTTTTGTTGTTGTATTTCTCTAACATTTTTTGCTAAAAAAATTATGCATCTAATAAATTAAGAAAACAAAAATTGTTTGTGAAAAAGTCAAGTGAAATTCTTAACTTCTTTTTTTTTTCTTTTTTCTTTTTTCCATTGTTTTTAAATGAAAAATAAACATATTATTTCAACTTGGTTAGTCAAAATTTGACTAAAAAAATTAAAACCAAACAAAGCCTTATTTGTTTTGAAACTAAAGAGCAAAGTCAACGAAAAAGGTAGCATTATGTTTAGAGTAAAGTTACAACAAGAATTGAGACACTTAAAAATAATTTTTTAAAAAAGTATGCAATTTAGATATTGATCTCGTAGGAAACAAAATTAATTGTGTTTAGAAGGCAAAGGCACAACCTTAAATGATAAGCAAGGCTTATTACAAACTAATTTCCAACTTGACCTTAAATTATTCTAGGAATTAAGGAAGATGAGCTTCGAATTTTGATTCTGACACATTTTTATTATTAAATAGGTAAAAATGTATCAATTCATAAAGTAGGAAGTACGTTGATTCTTTGTATATTAATTTATTTTAATACTTTCCTGATAACGTAACTTTTATGTTTTTATTAATGGCTTTTCATTCTACTACCCACCCAAATTGTTTGCCTAATACGGAAAAATAAAAATTTAAAAATAAATTAAAATTTTAAATTATTTTTCACAAATTAAAAGTACTTAATAAAATCTTTTATACTATGTGGAAAAAAAAAAGATTTAATATGAAAATAAATTGTTTTTAAATTCTCATTTTTCATGTTGAACAAACAATTGAAGATAAAGGGAATATATAATTGTATGCATGTGTGTTAAAGTTTAACAAATATTAGTATTTTAATCTAATATTATAGGGCAAATGACATTGTCTATTGTTATAGAGTGTGTTTGTTTTGAGAGATTATTTCATGGAATTAGACTATTAGTCCATCTGAATTAATAGTCAATTATTTGGTTCAATTTTTTTGTTCCGGATTAATAGTCCTTCCAGACTAGTAGTCTCTCATATGAGGGATTATTGTATCCTAGGGAAAGGGGTGAGATTATTTCCATGGGATACTAAATCCCATGAGACTAATGTGTGAAATGTCTATTTTACTCTCATGCTATTACTTAATAAACAATTAAAAAATGATAAAATAGTCTTTTGAACATTTATAAATTATTTTTTAGTATTGTTAATTTAAAATTATATATTAAATAAAAAATAAAAAAATAAATTATAAATTTAATTTAATTAAAAATAATAAATTAAAAATTATGGCCTTATAATTTTTTTAGTGTTGTTAAAAAATTAAATTTATATATTAAATAAAATTATTTTTTTAGTATTGTTAATTTAAAATTATATATTAAATAAAAAAATATAAATTATAAATTTAATTTAATTGAAAATAATAAATTAAAAATTATGGCCTTATAAATTAAAATTTTTTAGTGTTGTTAAATTATAAATTACAAATTATAGATTACAAATTTAAAATTATATATTAAATAAAAATTATAAATTACAGGGTAAAATAATCTTTTGAATATTTATCTCTATTCAGTTCGTTCAACCAAACATTAGATTTATTAAAAATAGTCCAATACAGACATGTAACCCTATGACTAAACAAACATGAGATACAAATCCAATCTAACCAAATAGTCCGGGGACAATGTATCCAGGACTAACAGTCCGATGGATTACAATCTTCCCTTATCCAGTCCGTCCAAACAAACACACCCATACTTGACCTCCAATCTCAATTTGCTCCTTGATCTTTATCTAAATCAATCCTTTAAACTTTGAAAAAAATTGCAATTAACTCTATTTTGAAAACAAACGAAGAGACTTAAAGTGAAATTTTGAAAAAAGTATAGAGATGCTAAGTATGAAGTTGAATAGACTAAAGTAAGATTTTAGTAAAAATGTAATGGTACTAAGTGTAATTAATTTTGTCACATGGTTGTTTTTCGTTAATTTTTGGAAGAATGATGTTGTACAAACAAGTTCAATTGCAATTTAACTCAAATTTTGAGGAATTAACTGAGATAATTAAAAAATATAGAGATAAAATAAAATTAGATGTAAAATGTAGAGGTGAAAAGTACAATTTATTCTAATATCAAAATTTGCATTTGTGCCCTATATGTGTATATGTAAAGTAGGCCACATTTGGGCCACATTAGTTTCATACATGAGCAACAAGTTTGGGCCTTCTACATGAGCAATGTTCACACCACTTCTTTTATACATGGATTCCAATCACAGAATAGAAAATTCCTTTTACATGGGTGAGACCTACTTATAAAGAGCAGAAATTATATAGTAGGTCTAAAATACCATGTGTTAGTGTGTCCATTCAATGATATTCTAACATTTATTCACTATTTTTATTTTTTTTTAAAGATTATAACCAACATAAAATGTCCGAAAGACAAGATAATTACTCTATAGAAAGAGTTGTGTTCAATTTTGTGTATTTAAAATTTTTTCAAAAATTTTGTACAAAATGATGTGATTCATTATAGTATTCTCATTTTTAAACAAGAGATCCACCACTTACCTTCATAATTTCAAAAATGTCTTTATTTTGAATAAAATTTTTATAAAAAAAATAATGTTTGTATACCATTTTTCTTCTCCAAAAGAAACTCAATTGGCATAACCTTCAGTAAATTTTATCACAAGACTATTAGGAACCATTTTTGATTGCATGATATATACTTTGAGGAGAAACTTCATATAACAAGAAGAAAAACTTGTGGTAGTTCTTTTCTTTTTTTCTGAAAAACCTTGTTTAGAAAATTTATCAAGAAATCTATCCAAAATAATAAGTCCGATGGAGATTTAATTGGTGTATTATAGAATTTATGTATAAAATGATCTGAACTATATATTAATATTATTGAATAAAATTCTGAATATGTAATATTACTGTCGATTTATTTTTACTTTTATTAATGTTTTGAGATCTCTTCATTAGTAACTTTCGCATTTAATGAAAATAAAATAAACAAGGTAAATGAACAAATATATGAGCACTTACTTATTCCCTCTACAAAAAATTTGCTGTCTAAAACTGCACAAAATGTACTAAAATGGCATGAGTAGTGCCCCATCAACGCTTCTAAAGATAAAACATGCAAGTATAGCAATTTCTTCAATGGTGCCCCCCGCTACCTCGTGTATAAGGTCAAGTTTATTTGATGCGGTTCATTTTGTAGTCGATTCTGTGTCCATGCAATTGCTGATCGTTGAGAAATTTGTAACTTGACATCACTTGGCTACAAAGCTAGCAATGTTGAAAACCCTGCTCTTTGTCATCTTTCACAGAAAACTCGAGGAATCCGACCGAGTCATCATTGACAGCCATTGTCAGAAAATAAACATGTCGAAGGGTGCACTTAGTGGAAGAAAGGGAGGCCGACATCCATATTATGTGAAATTTCTCAACTTCCCATTAATTTCCTCTTCAATGAACAAGAAAGATCAACTAAAAGCTCATCTAGTAAGCAATTCAACACCCCAACCTCCGTCTCCATGGCCAACTCTTGTTGCTCCTCCTCAAACTTGCTCCACCTCCACTTCGCTCCGCCTTCCATGTCTCTGACATAGGCCCTCCCTCTTTTCCTCCACTTCCCACTCGAATGACTCATCATATTGCTCACACATCCAATCTTTTGCTACTCTCAACATCTCACAATCAAACTCATCGTCATTTTTATCTCTTCTTGTTGCCAATTCATTTCTAAAGAAATCCAAAAGCAATTGATCTACATCGGTTTCACATGTCTCCACTAAGCTCGATGCTTTAACATGGTCTAATAGTTGCCTGGCCTTTTCTTCGATTCCATCGTCTTGTTTGACATATTCATGATCATGATCACCATACTCTTCTTCACAACTTGAATACTTTTCATTGAGAGAGAATTGGCCTTCAAGGATGGTTGGTTCTAGCTTGGCAAGACCTTCAAAATCTTGTATGTTTTGCATGAGCATGTGTTTTCTCCCTGTTAAACCAGCACGAATCATCATCAACATACTAATTATTTCCTCATAATCTCTAGAGTTATCCCACATAATGCACAATATAAAAGTATCAAGAATGTGCATGTCAGATGAAAGGACTGACCAAAAGTACCTTTATTCGTTAGTATCCTCATTATTTTCACTAGAGGTGGGTCTCATCATGCTGGCATGTACATTTTTAGTATGTTTTTTATGAAATTTAATTATATGTTATGTATACTTACTTTAATCTTTTAGCATAAAAAAATGGTAATGCACTTTTTCAACAGTTTTTTAAGTCCTAAATTGCCATAAACTTCACTAGAATAATGACATGATACATCAAATTCTTTAGAAAGGTGAACGGTTGGTACTTACTGTTCAGATTGGCAAGACTTTGGTGGAAAGAGGGAATTGATTCTTCATCTTCTTGAAATGGAAAATTGAGAACTGAGACTGGGCTGCACTGTTCTTTCTCCTCGCATGATAACTCTCCCTGTTTATGTACATCTCATTAGTCAAAATTCAAAAATATGACGAACCATAGCAGAGATTATAAACTTCACAGTTCAAAAAACGAGAGCGAGCTTGGATTTTGTGCACATATGCAGTGGGCATTGGGGTTATTTGGAACAATTGCTAAAAATCTCCTTTCAAGTTTCAACAACTTTACTTGGAGCCATTTTTCCTTGAATAGCTAAAAATGAAAAAATTTAAATTCAAAAAAATTTGCTGCTGCTAGTGCAGTTGTTTTTGCCTCGGTCACAGTTGTCAATTTGGTTCTTCAATCAATAATATAATTCTTTTCCCCAAAATATATATATATATATATAATCAATAATATAGTTCCTCACCTCATGAAGGCCAAATAATGCCTAATCTAAATTTTAACCCCTTGACGTCTAACTATGCTATATCTATAAAGAAGTTCATAGGATAAATTACATTTTACTCGGAACTATCACTCAGTATCATTTTCCCCTTCTTAAAATAAAATAAAATATAATAAAAAAAGGGAAAAAGAAACTCTGTCACCTTTAATAGCTAAGTTAAGGTAAGAATACATTACATATAATGTATGAAAAACTCACATGACATCTCAAATTTTGCAAAATGTTTAAAATGACCTTATTCTTTCGTTTTCTCTTTCTTATTTATTTATTTATTCCTTTTCTTTTTTTTCCCACCCACTACACAAATTGATAGTTCCAAAATGGAAAAATATAAACATTTTTAAGTGAAGAAAGTAAAGTCATACTAAGTGACAATTTAAGGTCAAATATATTTTGCCAAGTTGATTTGCATACAATTAAATCATAGAAAAGTAATATATCAGCTGGATGAGATCCACTCCTATTGAAAATAATGAGAATATTAACAAAAAAAAAGAAAATATCTACTCTAGTAAGCCAAGCCCATCACACAACATACGGGACGGAAATAGGAGAAAACTATAAAGGACTATAACCCCTGTTTCTATGAAAAATACTATTTGCTATAGCACTTTAAAAATATAAATAGCATTTTATATATTAAATGGCTCCCCAAATAAAAAAAATACATATATTATTCGTCTCCCATCTTGTATTCTCTTTGTATTTTACACCAAAAAAATCTCTTCATCCTATCAGATTGCTTCTAAAGTTTTTAAATTTTTTTCTATGTATATATAATTTATACTTATATCATATTGTCTGTACATATATGTTATGTTTGTGTATATGATAAAAAAAATTTATTTTTCTTCTAGCCCCTCTAATAATGAAATTCTCATTCCGTCCTGTTAACCTATAACATTTTTGATATTTTTAGAAGTTTAATTTTAATATATATAAACTTATTAATAAATGTTTATTGCTTATTTTCCTTACAAACTATATTGTTCATTGGCTAACACAAGAATAATCTTATCATAGAAAATTAAACAAAAAACTCAAATTCTTTAATTATAAATTAAAACTATTTGATAGACCCTACACGGCGAGATCTATCTCTATCACCATGCAAAAACCAGCACACACACACAGCACAACGATAACGACAAAAAGTACACCAACCACACGGCCCAGAATACAGTAAGATAAATAAGTTTGCGAAGTTAGATTAGAAAATTAAATTAAAATATTTTCTATATATTAGGAATTAACTAAATTGAATATTAAAAAAAATATATAATTCTCTCATTTATAAATGTGTCCTCACCTTGGGGTCCACCGTTGAATCGCCGCCGACACTCTCCTCGGGTAAACATTTTTCACCCTCCGAATTCTGACCACAATTACCGCCGCAGAGCGGTAAATCCTCCGCAGTAAAATCTTCATCACACCACCTTGATGAGCACAAATCCAACGGCTGAGCTTCCTCCTCCTCCACCACCACCAAGTCCCTAAACGATCTCCACCGCAGGATATCCTTCACCTTCACCACTGGAACGCCGTCGTTTTCTCCAACATCTCTGCGCCGTCGTGAGACGGTGGTTCGTGGCTGAGACTTGGCGGAGGAGGCGAAGGGGAAGTGCTTGACGGCAGTTAATAACATCTCCGAAGCTCTGTGAATCGCAGAGATCGTCGTTGAAGCGGCTTTCGAAGAACGATTTCTGGTTAATTTGATTGATGATGATCGTTTTGTGGTGCTTGTGTTGGGATCGAGTGGGTTTTTTCGAGGGAAGGATCGGAAATCGGTGGATGAGCATGAATTGGAGTCGTCTGCGAGGAAGTCTTTGAGCATTTGAGGGCGAATCAATGCCATTGTAGAGAGAGAGAGAGAGAGAGAGAGAGAGTGTGGTGTTGGGAGTGAGAGATGGGAGGGGATTATATGAAGGTGGTGGTTGGGGAGGGTTGGAAGGAGAGAGGTGGGTTCTAAAGGGGAGAGAGAAATGTGGGATTGGATATGGAAAAGGACAAAAAAGAGTGGAGGTTAGAACAAGCATGGAGGATGGTTCTAAAAATAATTTTAACTTAGCTTTCGTTTGTCACGGTGGATTTTTTTTTTTTAGTTACAAAAAAAATAAAATAATTTTTTTAATTTAATCAGATAAAATTTCACACTTAATTTATAATTATGTTTTTTTTTTCTTAAAAAGGTTAAAAAGTTTATTCCAAACGAAACTTTTATTTTGAGAATATGCTATTTTAATATTTTTTTAAATTTTTGGTTAATATATAATAAAAAAAATTAGTATATTTGGATTGATTTTTTATTTTTTTAAGAAAAAGTGTACAAAAATTAAATAAAAAATAAAATTTTTGATTTTTTAATATAGTATTTTTGGTATTTAGTGAATTTTTAAAAGATTTTTTTTACAATTTTTTTACTTTTTAGGTGTATTTATGTTAGGTGTGACTAAAAAGTAAAAAAATTACTTAAAATATTAAAAAAATTCAGTAAAAACAAAAAAATACGAAAAATAAAAAAGTAGAATTTTTTGAAAAGTGTTTTCTAAAAAATGAAAACAAGCAAGCTGAATACTTCCCATCTCAAAATAATAATGTTTTTTGAAAATTTAAAATTTTAAATAATATTATCAATTGTTATAATTATATTTTTTTATATTATTAATGAATTTTAAAAAATGACAAAATAAAAAATTCATATTATTTTAATTTTTAATTTTTTAAAAATAACTAGTATTTTGAGATAATAAAAAACAAAATAAAGAACTAATATTTTAAGACAAAGAGTATATGACTAATTTATTTTTAAGATGGATATTAATATATGATTAATTTGATGATCATGTTTATAACTATGCTAACATCATATAAAATCTTAGGAGAGATGAGATTGTAAATTAATGAAATAGTGACAGGATATTTACATTTTTATGATAGTGTAAATATTCTGTGGGTATTAGGGGTGTTCGCGGATCGGTTTTGTGCGGTTTGCGGTTCGGTTTTGACCCGCCCGCATTTATGCGGTTTGAAAAAAAGTCAACCCGCAACCGCCCGCAGTGCGGTTTGCGGTTTGTGCGGATAGGGTTTGCAAATGTGCGGGCGGTTTGCGGTTTACACTTTTTTCTTTAAAAATTAATTTTCGAGTTTTTTTTTTCCAGCAAATTTAGGCATCAGATTCTTTTTATATATTTGTGATAACAATTTTTTGATGAGTTTACAAATAAAAATTGAATATCAATGCATTAAATAAAAGTACCCAAAATAAAGATACCCTACACTAGCATTTTTGCTATGAAAAAAATGTATATCAATGCATTAAAGGTTGTACTCAATTAGAATTGTCAGTTCAGTAATCAATAATCAAACTATAAGTTCTATCGACCATTAGAAGAAAAATGTTATTAGAAAAAAGTGGATGAATCACCAATGAAAATCATATAAGAAACCAAGTTTAGGACTTGATAATTCTACGGCATTAAGAAAGTTGAGAAATACTTAAAAATAAGGATCCTAGTGTCATAGAGAATATAATGGTGCTCCTGTAAAAGTTACAAAGTTGGTATATAAAAAAAAAATAATAATAATAATTAAAGTGCGGGCGATTTTTGCGGTTTGCGGGTTTAAACCGCGACCCGCCCGCAACCCGCAAATTTGTCATATTTCAAACCGCATCCGTCCGCATTATGTTTGCGAAACCGCCCACTTATATGCGGGTTGGACGGATTGGGCGGTTCGGATAAACCGTTGCCCACCCCTAGTGGGTATGGTATAAGTCTTTCATGTGTTTCTTATATTTGCAATAAATTATTTGTGTGCCAGAATTGCACTAGAATTTCTTTTATCTATAGGAGTATAACTGTTTTTCTATTATCTCACTAATTTTAAATTTCTTCAAAATTTTAAAATATAAGATAAATTAATGTTAGAGACCCCAAATAATCTATTAAATATTTTCTTACATGAGTGTGGAACCAACACACATACGAATTTGTATGAGTCTCACACCCATATAAAAAATTTAATAAAATATTTAATAAATTATTTAAAATTCATAACATTTTCATATAAAATAAAGTGTTGGGACTCACGTAAATCGGGCCATATGTGTGGTCCTCTTGAACTTTCTCTTACTGACGGTTTTAGGGAAATTAGTTTTTTTTAACTAAAAAATCACATTTTTTTCAAATTTTTTACTTTTAGTGTGTTTTTTTTTTTTAAATTTATGTCAAAATTTTTTACCTATCAACTCATCTTATGTAGATGAAAAAAAATAAATAAATAAATAAATAAAAGTTTCAAAGAAAAATTGAAAAAACCAAAAAAATCCACTACTTTCGATTTATTTTTTTCTTTTCTATATATTTTTTTTAGAATTTTTTGGTTTTTTTTAAAGTTCACTAAAAATGGGGAAAAAAACAAAAACAAAAACCACCAAATAAGAAAACCCCAAACACCCACTAATTCATTTAGTTCAAATTTTGAATTTGTGTACATAGATTATTCATAATTAAAAAATAAATAAATAATAGTAGTCCCATTATTTTATTATATTTATTATATAAAATGAACAACATATAATTTTAAAAATAAACTATCCATTCTTTTTTTGATAAGAAATATGATAGAAATCATATACTCATTATTAGATTATTTGATTTTTTTACACAAAAAACCAAAAAATAATGGATAAATTATGGGCTAGTCTTATGTGATTGATTTAATTATTTATAAGTTTTGTATATCTAATAAATCCATCAATAAATTTTAAAATACTTATTTATTCTTAATATTTTTTAAAAATATTGACTCATGATAAGTATCCAAAAAATAAAGAGTCCGAATCTTCGGCCGCACAACCCTATGGCCATCCCTTCTGCACCCCCAAAACGACGTCGTTTTGGAAGAAATTTCAATTTTAAAAAAAAAGAAAAAAGAAAAAGAAAAAAAGACTGAAGCTGGGGTGAAGAATCCATGGCATCTAAGTTCAAGTTCAGAGCCTGAACCATTTTGTCTGGAAGCAATACCGTCGAACAACCTTGAAATTACGAATAAAAATTGTTTATAACTCAGTATAAATGTGATAAACAAACAAATCAAGCACCAAAATCAAACAAAAATCAAGGACCAGATCTGGGTAAAACAGAGACCCTAAAAATTACAACCCACATCAAAAAATCAACACAAAGCACATACTTGATTTCTTCCTGGTCTCAATTGGGCTACCGATTGGACGAGGCAAGAACACCCCTGTTCCAGCACATTCTCGCTTGGACCCAGTATTTCCAAGAAAAACAGCTCTCATACCTTAACTGGGTTGTTGCTGTGGCTGCAGAGCCTGTTGCAGATTCGGCCAAGTAGGCGGTGACGGACCTACATGTCGGCCGGTATTCCTTGCTCTGTTCTTAGCCATTAGGTGGTTCTGGTTCTGTTGTTGCTTCTTCAGGTGAAGGCTAGTTGCCTTCCTTCTGCTCCTCCCCCTCTGGTTTACTCGGATCTGCCTTCCCCTTTCTTCTCCCTTCTTCTCTTCCTCTTCTTTCCCCATCTGGTTTCTGTCTTGTTTTTTTTTTTTTTTTAAATTGAAATTTCCTCCAAAATGACGTCGTTTTGGGGGTGCGACAGGGATGGTCGCAGGGTCGTGCAGCCGAGGATCCAGACTCAAAAATAAATAGATTGGAGCTGTGTTGGGCCCAACACAATGGGCTGGACGGCTGGTCTAACATATTCCTATATTTGTATGCTAAAAAATGATTTGTTACCTTATCTCATCTTTTCGATCAATTTTTAATTAAAAAGAAAATAGAAATGTGACATGAGATGACATGACATATTTAAAAGTTGAATTTAAAGTTTAAATCATTACATGTTATTATTTGGTGTGTTTTTGTTTTATTGTACAAATCACATATGAAACTACCTCGTGCAACCTCCTGGAGAAAGGATAATTAGGTTTAGTTTAGCATAATCTGAAAATGTTAAAAAGTTAAAAGTTAAAAAATTATTATCTTATTTAAGTCACATCATTTTATTTAAATCACATTATTTCTCTATCATATCACTTTAAACTCAACTCATATTTTACGTTTTTCGTAAAAAATCAAAAAATGCACTTACATCATCCCAAACTAGGGGTGAGCAGCGGATATACCGATCCGCCAAAACCGACCGAACCGAACCGATCCGCCGCATTTTGGACGGATGCGTGATGATGAGCGGACGGTTGTGGATTGATTTTCTTCAATCCGCCAATTTGGCGGACGGATGGCGGATTTGAGGTTCCTTTGGCCGCAACCGAACCGCCAAACCGCGAGCACCCTTAGTAATTTATAAGATTTTGTATTTTCAATTTGTTTAAATGTTTTGTTTGTATTTTCAATTAAAAAAGAGTTCAAATATTATGTTGAAAAAAAGTTTTCAACTTGAATATATTTTTTGAATTGAAAAAAATAAAGGTATTATTTATCTATATTTTTTTTTATTTTTAAATCAAATTCTAAAAGTAATAAATAAAAAATATGATATATACTAGTTGGTTTTTGTTTTCAAAAACATACATAAATGTAACAATACAGTGACATACACAATCTCTACTATTGCTCTGTTCATGGTTTTGGTGGTTTGAATTGTTTTTATATTTTAAGAGCCACAGATTGTAATAATTTATGTGGATGAGACATATTGTGATTGTAATATGTGGATGAGACATGCAGTGATTGTGATATTCTAAAGTTTCAAACTTTCTTTCTTCGGATGATGCATACAGTAATTGCAATACTTTTTTAAGTCATTGACTGTAATACTTTTTTTTTTTTTCAAGAAATGCACAAGTTGAATTATGTTGAAAATTTATAAAATTTCAAACAGCCAAACCGATTCGCATTCATCCGCCAAACCGCCAATCCGCTCAATCCACAT